ATAATTCACTTGTTAGTGACCCCCTGCCTAAAATGTGAAAGCACCACAACACAAATGCATTTTTTTTTGTGTGAAAGTATGTATATTGAAATGATCTGGAGATAAACAAAGAAAAAAAAAAACATAGATTATTATTGTTATTGTTATTATTATCATTAATATTATTATTATTATTATTATTTGCATTTCATTTATTACTTACTGTTAAACTTTCAATAGTACAGTATAACATCATTATTAATTGTATGTTTTCAGTTATTTAAACAGCAGAATGAAACTACACTGTTTGAATGTATTAAAAGTTATAAATGAAACATTATTAAAATAATAAAAATAATAATAATAATATAATCGTCATCATCATCATCATCATCATATTAATGAAATTACTGTTTGAATGAATTAAAAGTTAGATAAAGCATTATTCTAATAATAATAATAATAATTAATAAGGTGTTATTATTTTCTGCTGATGTTTATATCTGTGTATGTGTGTGTGTTATATATTATTAATTATGATTTTTATTTTACAAATATATTATTATTATTATTATTATTATTTTATTTGAATACTGTTTTATATATTGCATTTAATATGTACAAACAGTACAGTTTCCTTTATAATAATAATAATAATAATAACAAAGCAACATTCTAAATTGTTTCAGTACTGTGAGTTCAGTGGTGCGTGTATATAGCTTTTTACAACAGATTTGAGCATGGCTCTTCCATCAGAACTATCAGATTTCTCAATCGTATTATTTATCTTTACCTTCACTGGTCTTACGCAAGTGTACGATGCCTTCCAAGTCTTGATGTAGTGGAGTGTTACTTAATACTACTGGAGTATTATGAGCTCATGTAGTATTACTGTTAGAGTAGCTGTGGAGTGTTTAGGCTCATGTGGTATTAACTCAAATCTCTGTACACAGAACGCATGTGAAGTCAAGTCAAGTCACCTTTATTTATATAGCGCTTTTAACAAGTGCATGTGAACACTCCCCCTATATCAAATGTTTCACAATTGTTTCATACAATCAGTACCATGCTTTTGAAAACACATTTTTGTTTACTGCTGTATAACCGTACATTTATGACATAAAGTGTGGTCCACACTGAAGCTCATTTTGGCCAGGGACCGCCCACTGAGACCGGAAGCAACCAGCCACTGTTTTCATTTTCAAAACCAACCAGTCAGATTTAAGCTTACAATTATGAGAAAGCTCTTGGTGTTTTTGTGTGAACAATCTGAGCATTAGACTACATGTCTATTTAGCAGATATGGTACACTAATTCTGGATACAGTCCTTTGAGACCCCTGGGGTCAGTATTTTTTCTTCAGGCACAATGATGATTGATCAGGACCGGGATCTCATTAACCCTTCAGTTCCTAGGTCACACTTAATTGGGATTGAACTTGCAACCTTTGTGTTAATGGCCCAGGACCATTAAGCCCCCCCGCCAGGACCAATGTCAATGTTGACTGATGGGAATGTTTCAGGCATGTTGGGAGTTTAAATGTGTATGATCACTTACTGGTGTCTTGTGTGTGTGTGTGTGTGTGTGTGTGTGACACTGGGAACAGGGTTGTTTTGGCCATGGACTGGACTGCACCATTGCCAGGGACGAGTCCTTAGTTTATCCTGCCAAAATTCTCCTTGGCAGTAAAACGGGATTCAGTTCACTCATTTTTTTTTTCTTGTTCCTCTTCTCTTTTCTCTCTAAATAAAACATGCCAGCACTCTCAGCTTGCTTTAGCCGCACACACACATACATACAAAGGTCCCCAGCTGATTCTTTCTGTCAGTCCTATCTGGTGATCTCTGCCTGTTTGTGTGTATGTGTGTGTACTTCTGTGCTCCAATGCCCAGTCAAGGACAGTGATGCATGCAGATATACAGTATACTGTACATATACTCATTTTCAATCTTCTGATGAAGGACAGAGCCTTTTGGTCGATCGGTTTTGGTGGCCTTAAAAAGTATCATGAAATTTTGTGGCTTAATGGAACATGTCCATTAAGTGTTACATATTTAATTTGAGTCTGAAGTGAGTTTTCAGTCTGAAAATCAGTGTTATTTTTAGCAATATTTATATGCTATTAAAGTATTTTTTAATACTCTAAATATGCTTTTATTTGTATATTTTTAGTTTTAATTTAAATTCGTTTTTAGTAATTTATGTGCTTTTGTAATTTTAATTAGTTCTTTTTTATTTCTATTCGGCCTTATTTTTATTTGAGTGTTAGCAATTTTTAATACTTAATTTCAATTAACTTCCAAGTCAGCAATTCTAAAGTTTAAGAGTTTCATCTAATATTTATATTTGATTTCATTTCAGCTTTATTTCAATTAATGAAATTTTAACAGTTTTAGTATTACTTTTAGTTAACAATAAAACACTGGTTAGTAAAAAACATTAAACAGTGAAATGCAAAATAATAAAAAATGATAACAAAGTTTCGCATTAGGTTGTGCTCCTCGGCTGCACAGAAATACATTACGTGATCATAGGGCTGAAACGATTCCTCGAATACCTCGAGTAACTCGAATACAAATAATTTGCCTCGAGGCTTCGTTTAGTCCATTTACTGTAACTACACAAGGAACACCGTGTTTCCCCACGGACCACTATTACTGACGCACAACCCGATTAATGCTGGACCAGACCATAGACTGTATAAAAACAGGGACCAGCCTTTAAAAAAAAAGGCGCTGGACATATTTAAGACCGTAAATCAATATGGCGGCTAGTTATAATGTCCCTACGTTAGCTATATTTTGTGAAAGATTATACGCCATTGTGCTTAAAAATACGACAGAAAGAAAGTTAGTCAATATCACACGAAGAGTGCCAGTTTTCACCTCTAAAATCAGCATGGTTACAAATGTGATTTTATTCAACAGTTCAATACACAAGAAGGTAATATTATGAGACTTACGTTTTAGACACTATATTGCCTGTTTTTGCTTTATTTTGCCAACAAAAAAATTCCAAACACAACCACAGTGCTGTTTTTGCGTCTCTGTGCAACATGACGACGTTTCGTTCCTGAATGAATCAACCGCTTAAATGATTCGGTTCAATCGCAATGACTCACTTCTTAACAGTGACTTGCTGCCACGTGCTGGCGGTTTTAATTTGACATTTAAAGTATCTTTTCGTATATCAGTATTCAATGTTTTATGTTTAAAATAACAAAATATTATTTATGCATTTGTAACTGCAGGTTAAATGCATTCATGTCCCTCTGTGTGGGAAATTCATCCCATGCAGCTTCTGTGTTTCCTCTGCATTGCAAAGATGAATTTTGATACTGATGTCATTTGTTTGGTAACAGCCCAAATGTCTTTTATTGTAATTGACTGATTAAATGTAAGAATTTGACTCAAAAGATGATGCACACTTTTAGAAAAAAAAGGCTTTATCAAGGTAAAAATGCCCATAAAATGTAAAAATCAATTTAAACTTATTGGAACACACCAATACGTATAGGGACATTTAAGAGGGTTTATTCTCCAAATAACTCTCATTTCATGTTGCAGAAAAGTGTGTTTAGAAACTGTGTATGGACTTTTGTTCTTGTTCCAAGTTACCTTCCTCTCCACTTATTTTTGCCTCTCACAAAAGCCACAAAGCCTTCCAAGAAGACAGTAAAGGCTTATGTCATGCTTGAGCTTTAGTTAGGCTGAAACTTGAAAGTTAAGTTGCACGACATAAATGCAATGTTTAGGTATTATTATTATTATTTTTATTACTATTATTTTGATTTATGCCTTAGTTTTAGTTTGTACTGTTTCCTTTTTTTAAGTAATGTGAAATAGATTTTTGTATTTTTGTATTTTTATTGTTTATTCGTTATTTTTTTATTGATATATTTATATTTGCATTTTGAATGCAATTTGGCAATTAAATACATTAAATGGGTTTAGTTTTCACGGTTATTAATGTATGCAATTTCAGCAAGTTTTAGTTTGTACTGTTTCCTTTTTTTAAGTAATGTGAAATAGATTTTTGTATTTTTGTATTTTTATTGTTTATTCGTTATTTTTTTATTGATATATTTATATTTGCATTTTGAATGCAATTTGGCAATTAAATACATTAAATGGGTTTAGTTTTCACGGTTATTAATCTATGAAATTTCAGCAATAAAAATTTTAATTTTTCTAAAAAGAAAACAAATTAGTTGTTTATTTTAAGAGATCTATCTTATTATCTCTTGTATATTTAGTACTGCTCTTTAATAAAAAAAAAAAATACTTCTTATCCGATTACTCGATTAATCGATGGAATAATCTGTAGATTACTAAAATAATCGATAGCTACAGCCCTACGTGATCAGTGTCTGTTTCATAAGCAAATGACTCTTATGTTTTTTTTTTATTGTATTATTCTTAGGTTTTTTATTTAATTATTCAAAAAGATTCATACAAACATTTATTTATTTATTTATTTGCACTATAATTTTTTTAAATAAATAGTTTTAATTTTTGTTTTTACTTACTGAAATCTCACTGGTCTAAAAGTCTTGTCTGTTGTTGTTGGTCTTTTCTTTTCTTTTTTTTCAGATATGTTCTGACTGACAGCCATTGCCACAATGTGCAGTGTTTTCTCTTTCAGAAACTACAAAAGATTTTTCACACATGGTCAGAGTTTTTACCTTAGTCATGCTTGCAACAACATGAGGCATCAAGCTGGGTAGCCCCGCCCACAGTGAACTCTCATTGGTCCAAAATCCCACTCCAAATGGCTGTTTATTATGCATCAAATATTAGCCTCTTTCCTCTCATTCTCGTTCTCGCTCTCTCTCTCCCTCGTCCCTTATCTTCTCTGTGGTGTAGTTTGGCAGAGATCTGTATGACAGCAGTGAGATTGTTTTCTCTCTCAGCAGGCAGTGAGACGAAAAGAAAAAGATCAAATCCACTTGGCTTATTGCATGCTTAAAATGCTTACCTCTCTCTTTCTCTCTCTCTCTCCGTCTCTGTCTGTTTTCCCAGGGTGCTGTTTTGTCACATTCTACACACGGAAAGCTGCCCTGGAGGCCCAGAATGCACTGCACAACATAAAGACCTTAACTGGGGTGAGTGTTTGTTTATCTGCTCATGTCTGTCTTTCTCTGAAAGCTAGCGAGGCAGAGAATTTCTTATTCAAATGACGACAGTTTCAAGTTTTTAATCTGGTTTCCTTTGTTAGAGGTTGTAATTTAGGAAAATGTGTGAAGTTGTGTTGAGGAAACAGGCTTATGAGCGACTTTAATGAGTTTATGATTTGCGCTTTCTGACGGAGCGAGTGATGTTTGCTTTCATGAAATCAGAGCCCTTGTTCTCGAAATCCAAACACAAATGGTCATGGGAGGGATTTGGGCTGTACAGTAGCGTTCAAAAATTTGTGGTCAGTAAGATTGTTTTTTTTTTCATTAATTTGTTTGGGAAGGTAATTAATAGTTTTATTTAGCAATGCAGCATTAAATTGATCAAACGGTACAGTAAAGACATGTTTAAAATGTCAATTTCAGGTAAATGCTGTGCTTTAAATCAGTATATTAAAATTATTTCTGAAAGGTCATGTGACACTGAAGACTAGAGTGATGGCTACTGAAAATTCAGCTTTGCTACCATAAGAAGATATTACATAAAAAAAAACATACATTTTAAATTGTGATAATTACAGTTTTACTGTATTTTGAATACAGTTTTATTTAAAATAAATGCAGCCTTGGTGAGCGTACGAGTCTTAATTTAAAAATATAAAAAAAAGTACAAAATTCAGCAAAATTCAGCTTTGCTATCATAAGAAGATTCAAGATTCAAGATTTTTATTTGTCACATACATGGTTATATAGGGAATATATGACCAGCAGTGAAATGTAAGTCAGGTCCACTCCATGGACAGTGCAATTATTAAAGAATACAAACACAAGAAAATTATATATAAATATAGGTATGGAAAAAGTAAGATAAAGAATAAAATAAAATGCGCAGGACAGATAGTACATAAAAAAACACATTTTAAATTGTGATAATTACAGTTTTACTGTACTTTGAATACAGTTTTATTTGAAATAATTGCAGCCTTGGTGAGCGTACGAGTCTTCATTTAAAAACATAAAAAAATTACAGATCAAAAAATTTTGAACATTAGTGTATTTCATAGGTATGCACTGATATAAAAATTCTGTCTGAGACCAATTAAACCAATGATTATTCATGTTGTGGCTGATAAACAATAAATGCCGGATTTTAAAATCTGACTCCATGAATTCGACCAAATAAATAAAAAATGAAATACTGAAAACTAAAATTAACGGGTTTATAATTCTACAAGTGATTTTAAGCATTTGGAACATCATAAGATGCAATATAAAAAA